CGGCCACGACATCAACTACCTCGCCGTCTCAGGCGCCCTCAGCCTCCTCGGCCGCGCCGCCGATACGCCCCACCCGCCGACCAACATCCTCGCCGACTTTGCCGGCGGCGGCGCCACCCTCTTCCAGGGCATCCTGCTCGCGCTGCTCGCGCGCCAGACCACCGGCCGCGGGCAGGTCGTCGAGGCCAACATGGTCGACGGCTCCGCGTACCTCGCCACCTTTCCGCGGCTGGGGCTCAAGTCGGGCGTCGGCGCCCGCGGCCGCGGCAGGAACCTCCTCGACGGCGGGTGCCCGTACTACGAGACGTACGAGACCAGGGACGGCAAGTACTACTCGGTGGGCGCCCTGGAGCCCCAGTTCTTCCGCCTGCTCGTCGAGGGCATGGGCCTGGCCGGCCGGGGCCTGGAGGAGAAGCGCTTCGACTTTGACGAGTGGCCGGCCATGCGGGCCCTCTTCGAGAGCACCTTTAGGCAAAAGACGCGCGCCGAGTGGGAGGCCATCTTTGACGGGACGGACGCCTGTGCCGCCCCGGTGCTGGAGTACCAGGAGCTGGAAAGCGATGCTGCCAGGGAGGGGGACCAGCGCCCGTCCGTGACGCTGCGCGGCACGCCGTGCTTGGCCATCAAGCAGCGGCCAGCGGGACACTCCGACCCCGTCACGCACGGCCAAGGCGCTGGTGTTCCTGGGGACGGGTATGAGGGCGAGCCGCTGGCGCCGGGGGATGGTGGTGAACAGGCGTTGGAGAAGTGGCTGGGGTGGCAGAAGGGGAGAGAATATGACGTGCACAAGGGTGCGTATATCCTGACCAAAGGGGGGTCGAAGCTGTAAGATTTCAGAGAATAGAGCAACAGATACAGCCAAACGTACAATGTATATCAATACACTTGCTTCGCGACATCATCCACCGGCGTGACGCTTGCGCTATCCTGTTCAAGACATCAGCCCCCTCCTAGGCAGAACACATTGATTTGCTATTAATAAAGGGGTTAAAACGCTTCGTCTAGTCCATACATCCCTTACCCACAAACGCGACACAAAGCGCCACGCACAACATACATAGGCCGGTCCCCAAAATAAGATCCGCCTTCTGTATCCCATCTGCAATGACCAAATCAGACCAAAAAAAAGTAACATCAATCAATCATTCTCAGTGACAAAGGCGGCGGGGACGATGCTCTGCCTCGAGCTCTCCAATGGGAATCCGCGAGTCACACTATCTGATCTACTCTAAGCCTTGGTACACCACCCATGGTATCGAAAAAGAAATAGCGAGCGTTTGAATCGAGGGGTTTTCCTTGACGTCGAGAAATAGTAACGCTTTCATGCCTGTTCATCACGTTTTCCATCGGCGCCAAGCAAAGTGCAATAACACAAGTATTTGGTCTGCCTGGGGTTGGTAGGCTTTATTGGACCTGACTGACAATTTCGCTAGCCTTGCCCAGAGATTCAACCATCTGCTGGCATTCCTTCCGTCTGCGGACTGTGAAGTCGCTTTCCTTGAGCAAGTCATCGAGCGTATCGGTTCGGTACATGTTCTCGAGCAGTTCGCGCTGCATTTCATCCTTGGTAAACCTGTACATTGCGAGTCAGTACCTACAACAAGAGTGAAAAAAGTCCTGGTGTACATACTGCACGAGATTAAGCATAATAGCCTTGGGGACCATGTCAATCATGGTGCGCTTGACAATGTTATAATAGGAGGAAATGAGCAGCTCTATCGAACGGGATCAGTTTCTGTTCGGCGCAAGTGATGCCAAAAGGACTTACTAATGACTTCCACTTCAATATTCTCCCGTTCAGAAAGGTTGCCAGAGGCTTTCAATGTGGGTGGAGGGGCTTCCATAGCTGCCGCCTTCTTCTTGTTTTTGGCAGCAAAGAAACTTCCAAAGAAACCGGCATTGCCAGTGCCATCCACCTCAGGGACTGGGGGACTACTGGCCCGAGCAGGTGTGCTAGACTGTGGAAGAGGCTTGCCACTCCTGGGGTCAATCTGGACAGGCTTCGCGGGGTTATATCGTTCGTTGACAATCGCCATGGCCTAAAGTGGGGGAGTTAGAGAAGAGCTTCCACATAAAGACGGGTTCGCACACTTACGCGGTGGCCGTTCAAGAAATCAGGGTGACCAGTATTGATGTAGCACGACTCCATGGAGACAAGATCGCGCACCAGCTTGTTGGTGGGCTCCATAGCCTTCTTGAAAAAGGCGATGACAACACCATGCATCTTCTCCTTGAGCTGAGGATATCGCCGGTATAACTGCTTGCCCAGAAGCTGCGATAAGATTCGGACCAGTTCGTCATAGGCGAGGGAGACACACTTTAAGCTAGGATCCTCGAGGCGCTTGATTTGTTGCTTGACAATGAGTTCAAACGCGGTGGTACCGACAAACAGGGCCGGAGATGAACCAGAAGAGTTGTAGAGAATAGTTCGGATATCAACGTCCTTGACAACGTCGAATGGATCCACAGCCTTGACACCGTTCGCGTACAGCTCGTGGAAGACGAAACTGATACGAGCACCACCCGACAACTCTGTGCTGGAAAGCTCAGTGTTATTGCCGTCTAAAACTGTCCGCCACTCGTTTGTAAATTCGGTAATAATGTTCAGGACAACGTTGGCACTATTTCCAAGCATAGATGGCCCCAGACTCTCCAGCTCGTTCGTGTACTTTTGTAGAGAGCTAGAAATTCTTGCTTTAATATCGGGCAGGGTTTGTTTGATGTGCATCATGAGAATCATATTCAGCTTGCGTGCCAGGTAGGGAGTTCCGCAGTACGAGCTCTTGTTGCGGTAAGCCTTGTGGTTGTCGAAAAATGCCTTTTCGGCGTCAAGGGCAACGTTGATGGCCTTCTTATTATCGATGTCTCGTTGGCCTCGGTTAACCACGGGGACGTAACCCAGACGCAATGGGATGACACGGTTCGAGAGAATATCGATAACATCGGTTCCGTCATCCATCAAATCGACCTTTGTCAAGACGCCAATGGTACGCTGACCCTCGGGATCAACTTCACGGGCGAGCTTGAGGCCGTCTGAATTTGCCAGGTCAATGTTGGCTGCCGTAACAGCCAAAATGATGGCATTCGACTTTCCAATATATTTCAAAACCATCTCTCGAATCTGTCGCTCGATATCGCGGGGTTGATCTCCGACGGGCACCTTGGTCAGACCCGGTAAATCGACCAGTGTTAGGGTGAGAACATTGGGAGAGTAAATACGCAAGTTGATGGGGGCAGCCGAGATGCCAGCGTTCTTGCCAACCTTTGCCTCCGTCTCACGGGCAATCTCCTCTCTGATCTTGCCAAAGTCGTGATACTTCTGGCCAGGGATGTGCAGAAACTCTCCCCACTCGTCGGCGTTGGCAGCCTTGTCGTTAGCTGTAGAAATCTCCTCGGGCTTGACACCGTTTGTCTGGGCTGGGCGGTTGATGAGCTGCAATACTAATGGACGCCGCGTAACAATGCCGGAACCTCGAGGCAGGCTGTGATAGAGGCGGTTAGTTAGCTCTTCGTTGATATCGATCTATGCCGCAAAAGGGGCAACGTACAAATCTCTGCCCACGATGTTCTCCAACACCGAACTCTTGCCGCTAGACTGGCTGCCCACTACGACAATCTGAGGCAAATCGATGGGATTGTTGACGCCAACAGTGGCGAAGACATCCTGGAGTTTATTGACGAGTCTGAGCCCGAAGGTTAGCAACTATATCGTATCCCCTGACACAAGGCCCAACGGCGGTGGGGGCTCACTGAATGAGGGCAGGATCCGAGATACCACCCGGGGTCGCGAGATTGCCACTCATGATCGCTTCGTTTAGATCGTCTCGCTATAGCTTGCTATTGTCGGTGATAGGATCGTAGGGGTTACGATGTGGTGGTGTTGGACGGCAGGAGAAACAAAAGTCGCTGTTGAAGTGGCGGTCCGACGATGCGGTGGAGGGGAAACGTCACCACGATGACTTGTGACCAGTTGCTCGGAAACCCGTTCGAGGAAGAGGGCCAGAAGCAATACGATGCCGTTGGACGTTTTCGTGTCGCAACACGGTGTACTCAATCAACAGAACGGATGGCGCACGAGGTTGGAGATGGGCTGCGTGCCGGAAAATGCAAGGTGTTTGTGAAGCTGGATAAGGAGGACTGGCTGGGCGACATGTGCTTCTCCAGTCTGGTCAAGTCCATCAGCCTGACAAGGGCAGGCACTAAAAAAGTGTTGCGTCGCTGCCCTGGCAGGGGTCGACGGTGCCATGGGTTCGGCCAGTAGACTGACCAGTTGACCAGTTGGCCCGTGCTCTACATGTGTACTGTCTACTTGTCTCCCTGCCTTGTACGCCACCAACTGCATACACGCGTAAAGGTAGCTGAAACTTCCCAACACCCAACCCAACGGGGCTCGGCCAAGCCACATGTGGCGGGGCAACGGAATCGCCGCGTTCACAGGCGAAGTGCGCCACGTGACTTGGACGTGACCGAGGACAGCGTTTGTGTCTGAAAAGTTTGAAAGGACAGCCCGAATAATGGCAGCCTAAAAATAACGACCGGAGAAACGTCACCAGATGATGTGGCCGCCAAAATCGATTTCCCTAAACATATGATACGGATTTCCGGCCTCCAAAATTAGGCAGCTGCGTTAGATGTGTTGCCTAGTGGCTTGGATCTCAATTTCGTTGGGCGGAATTGCTCCAGAGGTCGGGCACGAAAACGACATGGTTATGACCTTGTGAGGGGACTTCTCTTCTCACAAAGAAGTGATTTAGAGTCGCTGCCTGCCAGAAAATTCGGCCGCCAAGGCCGCACTGAAGTCTCAGCAGCATCCTTATGTAACGTCACCCTCATCTGAATGACGCTGTGAAAGACTACAGGCATTCACTGCCTTGGGAAGCGATAGCCCAAAGTCAAAGTCTATCAGCCCCGTGATGCGGTTAATCTCGGAATCGAGTAGCATATTCCACACATCGGAGTCCATGAGCCAGGATAGTCCTCAACATGTACGGGGAAACCTGCAAATTACAAAGTCAGCAAACCAGAATTCGCGTGAACCAACTTCTGGATAGGGGTAAAAGGCACCCGCCTCCTAGATGTTTGAAAGCCTTGCACTCACAAAATTACCCGACTCCACGCAGAGTGGATTATTTCGCCATCCTTGAATGGCATCTCTCTGATCTGAAGCGCTGGTGGAAGAGAATATCGAGATATTCGGCTGCCGACATGTCAGCAACAGGTATGATTGGAGCCCTAGTCTTACTGAGGCGTAGTTGTATCTCTTGTAAACATGATTGAGGCTCCCACGATGGATGCATCAGTTGACTGTAATCACCAGTTCTATCTATATTTCCCCGAGGGTATGAATAGTATGCAGATGAAGCTGAGGGACCAAGAGCTGAGGAAACGGTAACGTCTTACCCAGAATCCCCAAAGGATAGACCACGGTTCCGCTTAATTCCATATCATTATAATCGTGACATAAAAATGTGTTCCAAAACGAGCTTCTGTGCCAAGTAACCGTAAGGATTACGCTAATTGCTCGGCTTGTAGACTCTCGGTCAAGGGCGGATTCATAATGGATGTGCCGTCAACGCCAGCGTTGAGGACCGCAGCGGCTTTCTGTAAGGTAATTTACTTAATAGATGGTATCGAGCGAGGGGTATGCTTGTAGTTGGATATAAATTGGCTGGTCTGTGAGTTTTGCGCATCTCGGTGAGGTAGGGACAGTTCACCTGTGTTACATTTCGAGATTGCCCTCCTCTTCTCTGCTGGATGCGTTCATCTGACTAGTTTACATTTAACACCACGTACTTACAGCCAGAAGGAGGATCTAGGATAGCTAGACAAGCTCCGGAAAAGCGTCACAGATCGTTTTGCTCTAGCCCACGACTACGCTGTAGACAGTTTCGGCGTACTACTCGGCAGTTTTGCCCAGCCCAGGCACCAGTGCAATTGGCCAATCCTGCCATTGACCAGGATCAAGAAAAGAGCCATGGATCTTCAGCCAGTTCGCCGGCTGTTGCCCTTTCCTCAGGGAGCCAACATAGCATTCGTTTCAAGAATTTCAGGAAGCGCTCCAAGTCCTCAGAAACAATACAGCCTGGCACTTCTTTTCCCAACTGCCGATGAAACGGAATCAATGACTCATACATGAACTTACCTGCAGACTCGTCAGTGGCCATCCAAGTCACCATGTACCGGGCTCACTCACCATGGTCATCGAAAAAAGGGCCGCCAAAATAATCCTCCGCGTTGTTACACACATCCCCTTTGGCGTTCGGGATGCGTGGCTCCCAGCACCAGTGCCTCATGTCTCTCTGTCGTTGTATTAATTGCCGTGGTACGGGGCCAATAAGTGCAATCATCTCGGCGAGATGGTGCGCGGCACTGTACTCGTTCCCGTCCGGGACGTTCTGAGGCCTGCCGAGAAATAGCTCCCGTTCACCAAGTAGGTCCCATAACTGCTGCGAATTAACACGTACGTTCAATACTTGGAAATCACTAGACTTACAATAACGGCGAAATTCCAAATATCGGCACTATAGGACCAACTTGTTCCGAGTAGCACTTCAGGTGCGTGACAATGGTTGGGCTGTATTGGATGGAGGAGCGGCTCCCCGCCATCTCCCCGTTGTGCTAGTCCAAAATCTGCAATCTTGGGAACTATGTTTTGGAGATGTTCCTCTTGGAGATCGCCAAAGTCGTTGTGGCAAAGATAAATAGCGTCCTCGCCAATGACCTTGCGAGGCATCGGATTTGCTGACTGGCTTTCAACGAACCGCTCGAGGACCCAGTTATGTTCAAATGCCATGAGAATGTTGTCCAACTTGAGATCTAGATGATAATGATCAGTAGGCCGTACTTGCGAAAAGAATTTCTAGAAAGCTGAGCTACCGGTATGAATAACTTGACGATCGGTATGCAAGTAGTCGAGAGCATACAACATGCCCCGAATATAAAATTTGAACAGGGGGAGTGTTGAAGACGTTATCTTCCCGGCAGAAAGTCGGCGCTTGAATAGCCACAATGGCTCTCGCATCGGCTCGAATACCAAGCAAACATGCTGCCCTTTGGGAGACGGAATGGTGAAATGATCTACAGCCGTGACGAGCAAGTGGTGACCCCTGTGCCTTTTGTTGCCGGACGCGAGGTGAACAGACATTGCCAATTCTTTTGCAGCCTCACCGTCGCAATAGTTATTCGTAGTAATTTTGATGGCGAAATATTTCTTTTGCCAAAACCAGATTCTTTTGGAATCTGGGTTAGTTATTGAGAAGGTCCAGGCGTTTGACAGCCTACCACTAACCGGTCCTTTTGAGCAAGCCATACTGTCGAGGACGATCCCCAACCTACTTTCGCCTTGAGCACATATGCATCTCCTATCTTGTCTCCGGGGTTCGGATGGAGAAAATTCCGGCGTTGATAGCCTGGGATTTGCTCTTCGTCGATGAGTTTATCTAAAGGCAGAGCCTTGGGAAGTGCCAATTTCCCGGTACATGGTTGGTACCGCAGCGCACAGTTCCTGGCGGCGACCACACGCATTTGAAACAAAATTAGAGTCTCTACAGATGTGCGCGGGCGATAAAAACGAGGCTCTGAAGATTTGAAGATACGTGTGTTTGGCTTTCGAACCAAGAAACCGCGAAGGCAGGTAATTTACACGTGACTTCCTGTGGCTGGTTCCTCGTGGCTCATCAATTTTCCTTCAATGTCAATTCAATCAAATTATCGGAAACTTATCAACGGTCCTTATTAAGTTACCGTTGGGTTAAATGCAGGCACCTCCCGTAGGACAGGGGTAATCCCTGTTTCGCCTTAATCAACGCCACGAATTAAATTTATAACAGTTAATACCTGGGCGCAACATCAATATCGCTTTATTTTCTTTCATGCAGGCCCTGCACCGTACATTCCTGCACGCACGTCAAGGCTGTCCTTTTTCGTTTAATGTTGTGGAGATAATGACAGGCACTGGTCGGTGAGAAATACAATACAAGGAAAATGCTAGTCAACATGTCTATAACCATAGAACAAATGATATCCCTGTTAGGGATGTAAGGGACGAGAGGACATGATGCAAAATGAGAATGGGTCTGGTTGATGCATCATATATTGAGGTCAAAATTACACCAGAAAGAATTATGCCAACTTTGGAAGAAAACGGAGAACTGAGGCGGGGAGTAATGAATGCATGTAGTGATTCCATATTATATTAGCTGTCCTTTAGCAGTTTGCCCTCAGCTCAGTCATGCTCAGGCTTGCTCAAGGCTTCACTTTGCCACAGCTCAGGCAGTGTGACAATGGCAGGGTAACTGGGATTAGAACGTAGTGTTCTATTCAGACTATAATAATCGACTTGAGGATGTCAAAGGTCCTTAATTTTCCACGAGGCCTTGAGGGACAAAAGGCCCCTATAAATACAAGAAGTCGGTGAGGGCTTCTGCCTGAGGCAGCCCTCGCTAACCGACTTCGGGCCTCGTGGCCCTTTCAATGTTGCCTTTGTTGTTGTGTCACCTTTGTTGGCCCAGCGCCCTTTGTTGTGTGCCAACCGTGTAACCGGCAACCCGGACGTAGGAAGAATTGGGTCACAGTTCCGCTCGACTGACCTCCGCTTTACCAAATAGTATATGAAGTATTCAGAATAAGAGAAGCTTGCTGATAATATGGGTCAAGAACCCTCTCAACAAGATCATCCTTCATCCAAGGACTATCCCAAGCAGGCCTCCAAAGTGCTTTTGCAAACTCCCAGTACTCGGGGAAATAACCAGAGAGCTCCCAGTCCAAAATAGCCACAACTTGAGATCCACGGACAAGAATATTACGAGGCGCAAAGTCATTATGCGTCATGACGAACTCATGGCCCTGCATCATGTGAAGTAGAGTTTTGCAGAGGAATCGTATAAAGGAATCATCCTCCCGTCCCTTTGTCCATGCCCGCACTAAACCCTGGTTAAAACTTTCTTCCGTAGAGTACGGTCCATAGCCCCCAATATCATCATCGATGTATTGGTCATCGCACGGCGATCCATCAGTGCAGCTGATAGTAGGGCTCTTGAAACGTCTTAACTCGTTGAAGTAACCTCGAAGCTGCTGAACGACTGTTTCTTTATCTGCATCATCGTAACTTGGCCATGCCTCTTGGAGCGTTTGACCCTCAACTCTTTCCATAACAATACATACATGGCCGGTTTCGTCATGCGTATATGCGTCATAGACCTCTGGGACGGGGATATTTGTATTCTCACGGATGAACCTCATGGTGTTGGCTTCAGCCAGGCGAGTATTCTCTCCGGTTTTGACGACAGTCTTGCCATCTATTAAGAAATGAACAGCACAGAATGGCCCAACACGAGCAGCTGCCGCTAGATCGTCCTTGGTAATTTTCCGCGTCATTGTGGCAGTGCATAGGTCGTAGTATGAGGGGAATAGGTGTATTTGGAGCAGAAGCGTCTAACGACCCCCGGGAAAAGATGTTGGTTAGCTGCTTGTTGGTCAGCATTTTGTACCTCTCGTCGTTACACTGCTTACATAAGACATTGAAGGGATAATCATTTTGCCGTGTATTTCTTTGATCTTGCGTACGAGCAGTAGTAATAGCATGTAGTGAAGGTTACTAAACTACTCATGTTGTGGGTGGCAATGACTTGTGACGACACACATACACTTCCCCATCTTGATCAATCCGCGCTGGAAGCCCAGTTTAATATTATGTGTTCTTTGGCAAATCTGCCAAAAGTTGAGGCCTCACAGAGTTGCATGGTTTAATTTGGTAGATAACAGTATTTTCCTTTCAACAATATGTATGCACACGTGGATGGGAAGAAAGACATCAATGCGTGTTCCTCGCCAAAACCGGTAATCGCACCTCAGCCTCCCCGACGGTAATAAACGTATTCCATTACCAATTGCAGTATTTTGCTCTTTTCAGACCCCGCTCTTGCCGTAAGACATATGCTCCGGACATCCAAGCACAACAGGTTGGCGGCAAACCTAACCTGTAACAAATCCAGCTTCAGATGCAGGGCTACAATTCACAGGGCGCAAAGGGGGGTTTGTTCCGCTTAACTAGTTATTCCGCTTTCTGCGTCGTATTACCTTAAGGAGGACATGGCGGCCCAGGTGATAGAGGACACGGGGTTCAAGAGGGTCAATATAGCTATTTGAGGATAGGAGTTTGTGGAAAGGGCAGTGTTAGTTGAGTCGAGGCCGGGAGTTTAGTCATTAACTTGAGAAGGATAACGATAATAGGGTTAACTGGAGTGATGAAGATAGGGGAAAGTTTAGAGCGTTCAAACGTCCCTAGTTAACAAATATCGTGGAAGATTCTTCACATCCTTCATCAATATGTCGTAATAGTCATGAAACATGGCACATGGCACCCGCGAATACAGCTGGTTGTGAGCCAGCAACACTCCCCAGCGCAAGTTCAGCTGTGTTCAAACTGGTTGGAAGGATTGACTACAGAGAAATAGAAAAGAAAATCAAATCAAATCAACTGCTTAATAAGAAGTGCGAGCGATTCCCTTCCAATGCTTTGAAGGTAGTCTGTAGATGCAGTCGAAGCTGCGGGTCCATGAATCAGCAAGTATTGGCATATGCGAGGCTGCATAAAAGGAGAAATCCCGAAACTCACTTTGGCCATATCAGATGTGAAGTTGAAAAGGGACGCACCCAAAACCACATGTCTCCTTTGAGGAAATGCCCTTCGCGGCTATGGATCTACTCTACTCTATCACACAGCTCAAGCATGCACTCTAGAGCAGCCGAGTTGCGCCGCATCGTAGACTCGTCATAACTTATTTTTCCACTGTGCTCTGACCGAGGGTGGTATGTTTGCTCATCCGGACGGCCTGCAGGCCATTTTGACCATGTATTTTTATACTTATGCATAGTCACCAAGACAAACTTCCGTTCGTCGTCGGCAACCTGAGTGAATGAATGGCCCATGCCAACAATAGCAATCGGCTCAGGCTTGCTAGACGCATGAGTCATGTTGCACAAGAGATAAAATGCCCCCCGACGTTCCAGACCGCAAAAGAAGAGGGGAGGGCGCGGGACGCACAAACGTGGTAGCTGAGCAAATGAAAAGGGTGATATTGAGGGTTGAAGGATATAAGAGAACCCAAATCGATATGAGAGGTTGACTTGGGACACTTGAGCTAGAACTATCCAATATAATGTTATTAGATACAACGAGACAAAAAATTGGCGTAAAAATTGAAAAAATAACAGCAATTTACGCAGCGGAATTACAAGGTATTGAATGTATTAAATTGATGATGCTTGATGAAGATAGAAGTCCAGCAAATTGACCCCTGGTATACCTAGTCAGAGCCCCTGAAAACCCCTGCTACGGCGCCCTTCAACTCGAGCCCTAAAGAAAGCAAATATCATGACGAACAGGGCCAAAACGTACCCTATTCCTTCCAACAGTTGCCAGCCAAGAGGGTTGGCTATGCTTGCGAGACTCTACCACATCTGGTGTCCGTCCCAGATATAGAATACACCATTAGTTAAAACGAGAAGAGAAAAACTCGAATATGATCTGCTGCAGGGGGTCATACACACGGCTCAATGCAACCACGCATGCATGTGTTAACGGCATTATCATGACTCTTGCTCAATTCGACACCCAAGGTCTCGGTAACAGTTAATATTAGGGGGTATAGTTGCTGCCTAATAAGAGTCGTTTCTTTTTGTGACAATATGCCTCGATGCTGACAACACATGCATGAGTATCACAATGTGGACAGAGCGCGGTCCAATAGAGGCCAGGGAACTTCTTCAGCCCGTTACACCCAGCAAACGCCGGGACCCAATTCCGATTTCCATTGGATAGAAGCGTCAAGAGCTATTGCCGTTTTTCAAGGCCACATGCATTATTACAACGTCATAGAAATAGTGGCTACGAGTCACATCACAAAATGGAACAACTCTTGGGGTGGGAACCCGTTTATTTCTGCCCCTTGCTAGTTTCAAATATCCTATAACATGAACCGGTGCACCAGTTCATATTCCAGGATTTGGCTTTATATGACACAAAAGAATGGAAGCCTTCTCAACTAGAAGAGCCAAGACGATGCCAGCAACCCCCGTACCAGCAGGGTGGCGATCAACTCAA